TTGCTCCAAAGTGATTTTCATGCCATTCTGAAAAAAGGCAAAAATTTTAAATCATGATTATTAACATTAACACACGTTATTAACACACGTTCAAACAATCCCGAGGTAATCTCAATTTTGAGATTCGAAACTTCCTATCCTATGAATCCACCTGTATTAGAAGTGTTAGAAAAGTACACATTATTAACAAAGAAAAAATAAATGAACCCTTTCCAGAACCACAGTATCCTTTTCTGTTTTCATCTTTTTTTTAATGAAACGTAGCAGATGTTTTTGATTCATTGAACTGGCAGCATGTATGTGAGTATCAACCTGTAATTTTAATTAATTAAGTTTATTAATATCATTCAACAAAAGTAAATATATAAGTCTGCATGTCTATAATAACAGAACACAAAAACTTGCTTTTCTGATATTGTAAAAATCGCGATGTGGCACAGACTTTTGTTCGTGCTGCTCTCGAATCTCATTCATCAATGTATGCAACTGGAATTTGTTATGTAAGTAGCACAGCCGTCGGAAACAAAAACTTTTCCTGAAAACGATTGTTTATAGCTGTGTATTACTTATTCATTTATACTTAGAGAAGCATAACTGAATGCCACCTGATTACACAGTTACAAAAAGAAACAAGTAATGCTCGTCATAAAATCATTTTTTAAATTATCGCACTTGCCAGACTTTCAATTGGGGCGATTATGATTTTACTCCAAAAATAGGATGTTATTTACTATATCCTTTAAATAGATTAGTTGATGAAAGAAAAGCTGATCGATACTACATTCCTTGATCTCAAAAAAAAATTCTTAAAATTATTGTAAGTCGGACGCAGACTTTCTAAGAAAAAAAAATTTTTTTCTAGATGAAAGAAATATGACAAAATTAAAAAATAATAGCAGAACACAAGACGTAATTCAGGCCTAAATAAAACGAAGTTAGTTTTCACTTACAACGGTCCATTTGCAATCATTACAGAAAGTTTTTCCAAATCTCGCAAAAATTTCTCTTTTGAAACATACGCATGCCGAAATTGATCTGGTATTTTTCCATCTTCATTTAGAATCTCCACCTGCAATTTCTTTTTCTACTTGTTCAGTTCTTTAATGTACCACAATTAAACAAACAGCAAAATTAAATTGAAGACAAAAGGTAGTGAAATCTCCATTATTTAATTCTAGAATTAATATTTTCAGGAATATTAACTATGTCTAAACAAACGATTACTCTCTGATGGCAAAAAATTTGCAAGAAATTTATTATTCACACGTTATCACTGCGGCTTCAGAAGTTTAATGATGAAATGGAAAAAAATGCTTCCATCATTCAGCTCAGTACGATCTTAGGAAAATTAAAGAACGAATATGAAAGTATTAAAAATTAACTGAATTTAAAGCTATCGAAGAACTAGGGACTGTAATATTTCATACAAAGACTACTTAAGCAATAAAAATGTATTGAACCCTTTATTAGTAGCATCTAGTAATTTATATATCAATAATGATGATATGCCTAGACGTTGCTAAATTTCTGAAGTTAAGATAAAATTCCTAGCTCGATCAAATGGAAACTGTAAAAAGTAGAGGAGAGTAAAAAATTGGTTTCCGAAATGGGCTTAGATTGCGAGTGCTTCAGTCACTCATTTTACATATTCATTATCTTTCATTCTAGTGAATCGAATTATTATGAGAAAAAAACTCACCATGCCATGATTTCTTTTCAATACATAGATTTTTTCATATTTTGGTAATGGTATATTCAAACCCCAATGATCTTCTGGTGGGAGAGGTGGATTATACGACGTTTGTGTCGCTGAAAATAAGATTCACTAAGTAAATCAGGACTTCTCGTTAAATTGCATTAGTTGAAATAATCAAAATTAAATGCATGCAAGAAAAGGTTCCATCTAAATTTAATGTTCAAATGAATTGTAAACATATTAAATATCATAAATAATATTTTAGAAGACAATCTGTTAAAATTGAATAATGGAACACGATTAATTGTCTATGAGAAATGACTGTTAATAGTTTGCGATTATTGCTAGAACACAGTCCAATTAAATTTGCGTATGAAATGAATTCTGACTTATTTGGACATTTAGAAACTTAAAGAAACTATCGTTTTAACGATGACCTAGTCATTCAAGAGAAACGCATTTCAGTGAAGAAAAAGTGAAATCATACAAACTGTTAATATGAAATGAAATGAAACAGCACTGTCAACTGCATTTGGTCAAATCAGCACATTTCTATATATCACTATATCATTTTGCGAATATTTCCTAATTTATCAATCAGTCTTGCCACGAAGTGATACATTTTTGGAGATCCAAAACAATCTTAGAAAATACCATCACAAGTATCAAAATAAATATTTATTACCAATGTATCCTGATAGCTGGTACAAGCTAATTTCTTTCGAGAATTAACATAAGGAATCATGTATTTATATGACTTCTTATGCAAGAAATATATTACTTTCGATAGCATACTGCACTGAATAAGCAGGCAGTTCTGGTGGATATAATTTAAGAAATTTAAAAAACTCAAAAGTCGAATAAGATAAAAAACTTAAAGTATGTTTAAATTTTAAAATAGTGAATCAAAAAAAAGAAAAAAAAATTGAAAAGGAGGTTATCATAAGAAACACTGAAATATAACAGTAACGAACTAAGCTTAATGTGAACAAAACAGAGAGTTAGTTCAAAAACATTTTACTAGACATTATTCTTCCGAAATTATACACCACCACATAAACAAATATACGCTTTTTTTCCAAACTTTTCTCGCATTCTTCTATATGTCTGCTAGAAAGCCCTGTTCTTCAATATCTAAATAAACAGTAAAAAGACTCCATCAATTTTTTAAAATTTTTTTTAAAGAAAGAAAAAGTAACGAATAATAGTTGATGTTTTGCTCTCCACAATATAATGATAAAATTATCAGTACTTACGGACGATCGGAAAATTCAAAAAAAAAAACTCCCTAATTATCATTCGATCCGTTCCAGAAAGTTATAATTTACATGTTAGCCAGAACAAAAAAACCTATTCATGCTGTTACGTCCTATAAATGATTGGTAATTAGCTAGGATCTATTTTTCCATTAGCTAACCTAAATCACGTTATTACCTTCCGGATGTGATTCCTTATCCGATGCTGCTGGCACTGCATCCTTTGAGACGTCATGTGAGGACTCTTAAAACTTGCAAAAATTTAAAAAGAGATACAAAACGAGATTGATTTCCTAACTCGACAAGAAAAAAAATCATTTTTCTTTTACAATGCGTAAACCCATTCAAGACTTTAAGAATTGAATGGCAGTGACAACGTCAGCAAGATATCAATTATAATAAATGACGTAAGCACAATAACAGTGTTATATAATCACTGAAGCAATTAACTGAAGAATGATTTTGCTGCAGAAAAAAGGGAAAACTAAAAGCATATCGAAATAAAAAAGAGGAAGAAAATGGAAAAGGGAATTAAAATCTAGAAAACTGAGAAAAAAAAACCTACATAAAATTCCAGCTGAATTTTGCAATTGAATATGAGAGCATAAACTGTGACGCATTGAAAATAGCAGGATGGTTTTTTTTTTTTTTAAAAAAAAGGAGGGATTAGGTAATTGGTAAATAGAGAGTTTTTATAAAGAAAGTGACTAGATTACTAACTACTGCATCATATTCCCACGTCCTTGAATGCCATTACGATATAATGCAGTAATATAAGAAATGCGATATGGCACTTAAAAATGTAATTTATCATTCTTTAAGCATTTGACTTACAGAATTACAAGTTAATAATATGCAGCCTCCAGAATAAAACTAAATGAACCGAAACTAGAAAGCGCTTTTGATTTAAAGTAATCTTACTCTAACCAAAATTATATACGCAAATGTCTCAAGTTTGAAAAAATATATAGAAATCTGCGAAACCAACTTATTTCGATGTTTTTCCGTCGATATCTTGGCAAATTTTTTGGGTAGTGACCAGAAAGAAAATTTTTTGTAGTTAACGGAAATTGATTTCCAATACGTTCCATATATTCTTTGCGTAGCATTAATGCCTCAGTCAATTCTCGAGCTGATTCCTTTAAATCTTCCAATGGGACCTGAAAACGAAATCAAATAAAATTGCGACCTTCTGAATTCGAGACGAATGAAAACATGTCTAAAATGATAATATCAAATTTATTTCGGCATTATGCTTAATTTCCATTCACTCTTCCTCAGATACTAATTTGCAAAAATACTATGTGAACAATGATTAAATACTACAAAAGCCTGTTATTTCTATTCATGAGTAATATTTCGATTCTTTTGTCTTGAATAATAGAATGCGAGAAATTATGTCTCATTTCATATTATTTTTGATATCTATGAAGAAGATAAAGTGTTCAAGACAAGAACCATCATTAAAACGGGACAATCATGTAATTCATATACAGTTAAATGAAATAGAATGGACTTAGAAGAATGAAGAAAATTATCATTGTAAGCACATATGTATGACATGTATTATAAAATTTTTACTTTGTATATTTCAATCTCTTAAAATTAGCTAATACGTAAATACTAAAGAACTTGACATACCCCAGAAAGCTCCTCTCCTGTTATTGCCATTCGTTGATAATTGACATCGACAGCATCACGAAATGTATACATTTCCACATGTTGCGGTGATCGAGAACGAGAATTCACATTTTCATCCATCCCGAGTGCATTAATCTGCAGAAGTGGAGAATCACCATCATAGTGCGCTGATTCCATCCGAGCCCTGCAGATAAGATATGAATAAATGTCATTTTCTTTGATTTTTGCTAAAATTATATATATCAAACTCTATTTGAAATTGAATTTCATTGATTTTAATCTCAGATGTAATAAGATATCAATTGTAAGGTTCAATTTGCATTTCCATTTGTTGAATATATTTCAGCTGATGCTAAAATTATTTTCAAAGGCCATAAAAATTTAAACTGTGACTTTTTTGGAGATTTTATCAACAGTAGTATATGAAGGTAGTATTAATCGTAGCAATGATAATTAGAAAGTATAGATGAGGAACTCCGCTATTCCTAATTCTGGAGTTGGGATTAAAACGGTGAAATTTCAGTGGTTCCGGATTAATCACGAGACGACGCAAAAATATTGATCATATAAAATGATTCCTTACATCCTTTTCTCTCCTGTTCATTCATTGTTTTCGTCTATTTTTTAAAAATACGATACTAACTCACAAGTTCAGTTATAGGATTATAATACTTTGGTTCATAATATAATACTCTGTATCACCACTACATTTAGCAAGTAATATTAATATCTATGAATAAGTTTCGGAATAACAAAGAAGCTATTAAGAAAAGCAAATACATGATACACGCTAATTAATGAATAAACGATGAAACTTGATTAGGATTAGCTCAAAGATGTTTTAGTTCAGAATGAACTATTATACAACAGATATTTCTATATTTTTCATAAAACACATGTAAAATTTAAAGCGAAGTTCCCTTGGATCTACCAATTCTGTCAATTCTATTATTTGATTATAATGGACATATGCTTTAAAAAAATTCAAGCAGGTCAAAATAAAAATCGTGGGTGAATAAAGACGACGGAGATCGTAAACTGCTTTAAAAAAGCACTATTCTGTACTATTATAAATGGCATGCATTATAACAACTACTGCAATTATGGACAGTACTGAACAATCCGAAACTGATTTTATTTCATACAACTTAAGATTTCTCGAAATGTCACACAAGGAGACCACATTAATGTATTATTATTGACGATTAACTGCACAGAAAAACAAGCAAATTGTGACTCACTGTAGAGAATGTCGACGCGGTTTTCCAGAATGTCGACGCCTGTAAATTTAATTAACAGGGAAATTAGCTTGTTAATGAAACAAATGCATGAACATTGATTACCTGCGTGCCTTTCATGGCACTTAAACAATTGCACGGCAGGGCATAAATGGAACTAAAGCAGAAAAAATAGAAAGCAAAAGGTTAATGAAATTAAAAAAACAAGTATAGATATTCATTTGTTAATTTTTCTTTTGTTTTATCACCCAGAGAAATGCAGTACTTCTGAACAGGTAATCCAATCAACTGCTGAAGTTGACTATACAGTTCTTAAACCAAACAGATTCTGATTGGGTCTGTGTTTTTGTGATATTATTATATAATGTCAAAAGATCAACTAGAGTCATTCGGAAAGATGTTGTTTGTAGCAAAAGAAATCTTAGCTGAGGTCATTTGCCCATTAACAACAAAAAGAAATCTTGAGACTATTTACTTCATTTGCAGCAACCCCAAGAAAATGCAGTATCTGATATATTTTTTTTTACATGTTATTTGGCAAATTGCAAAATTAGCAGTATGTGATCATGTAGGACCAAGGAAAGTGCCCTTCATTCAGCGGTAATGTTTGAACTAACCTTTCTCTACTTCGATACAGAGCCAAAAATAAAAAATTACCAAGAAGTAAAATTATATTTAAAAAAATAAAACTTAATTTCAAAATCAGCCCATTAAATCAGTCAAATTAGTAAGTCATTCATCTGGAGTTCACCACGCCCACTGACTATCAGGAAAACTGGAAGCGTCCCACTTCTATCATACATATGTTTAGAATTTCAAATAAAAGTAAAGAAGAAATAAGAAACAGGCAGTTAGAGAAAGAAAACAAAAATTTCTGCTTTAATCTGAAGTAGTGGAATTGGTCATTAAAAAAGAAAAGTGTCATATATTCCTGGACAAGGAGAGGAGGAACTCATAACTAGTAAGTAGCAACTTTTAAATAAAAAAAGACCTATTTGTGAGTTGTCGATGAATTGCATCTTTACTTTCCTTCACTTCAATCGGATATTGTAAGATTTCAAAAGGTGGTGAAACCGTGTGATGATCGGAATCTTCCATGAATCCTATTTGAAATGAATTACAATCGAGAACATCTGAATCGACCGTTTCTGAAAAAAAGGAAAATATGTAATACACATTAAACATTAATCAACCATATAAAGATATTGTTCAACATATATTATTCATGTCCAACAAACAAAAGAATGCTTGCATGGACAATTGACTGTAATTTAGCACTTCAATAATTTACTTATCAACTAGACAAGAGAAAATTTTAGCTATGCAATCAAAAAAGTCAATGACTAGTCGTGCCTAGAATCTTCTAGAATCCTATAAGAATGCAATTAAAATTTTCTTGAACTATAAAACAGGTAAAATATCTCAATTCAACTCAAACTCTATCATTTCTCTCATCAATTATCATCATAAACTAATGATGAATAAACTAATAAAAATTGCAGCATAAAAATGGAAGAAATTTAACTTTTGAATTATTAAAACACAGATTGAAGAAAAGAAAGAATGTGACTTACTTAAAGTACCAGCTATAAATGGTGCTAATTGATCATTCATTACTTGAGCTTCTGTAATTATTGTCGTTGATGATTGTTGTTGCAATTGTTGTGAGCTAAAAACTTCTGGCGAGAATTGTTCACAAGCTGTGGCAGCATCATCAATAATAGCATTACTTGCAACAAGAAGTATGTTCGTGTCAGCGGAAGAAGGCGAAAAAAAATTGATTGATGGTGGAGTGCCAAACAAACCACTCAAAGGGCATTTTCGATGTGCTGATGACATTACGAACTACTATTTATCGATCAGTTATTTATCTCGATTTTATCGTCTATTCTTTCTGCTGTAACAATAATTACAAGTATAACAATAATCAATCATCATTCTAAGCGATATCTCCGTTCATAGCAATGAAAATTATGAAATAAATGTAATATTAACTAAATAATCAGCTCTTTAAAGATACTAACAGTACTTTGAAAAATGATAAAGATTAGTTGAAATCGGAGTGAACAGAAATAATACACTTAAATAGGCTAAAGAGAGAGAGAAAGAGAGGAGAAAGAGAAAGAGAGAGTGCAGAAGTTAGCCATCTGAAAGGAGAAAAGTAAAATTTCCGGAGGGAGAAAGATAAATTTAATGCAATGGACAGGAAGTACTTTTTGTTTATACTTCCTCCTGGCTAACTTTGTCTAACTAAAATGCCTGTCTAATCAGTTCTGTAAATATATTGAGGGAGAAATTTCATATTAATGATGAAATTCTTCTCTGATGAAATTTACTATGAGAGAAGCGAGCAGATATGATGAAATTCCCGTTTATCAATGAAATATTACGAGAAAAATAAGCTATCGATTTCATTCTAATAATTGAATTATGTTCCTTTTTCAAACGAATATATGCTGGAAAAGTGTATGAATCGATTGCCCTTTGAATCGTCCACAACTAATTGGGCAAATATGACGTGATATATCACAGATCGCAGACGCTTACGTAATTTAAAATAAACTATCTAAACGTCACTCCTTAATGAACACTTTTTAATTCTTCACAGCCCTCACAGTTTAAATTTTCCACAATGTGATGCTAAACTGCTTTCTTATAAAACTTCCCAGTTGACCTTTGTCCTTCTGTCAAAATTATTTGGTTTCTTCGATTGAAGTGTTTGGGAAGGACAAAATTAACTCACCATATATATAATGTTTTGAAAGACTGCAAAAAAAAGGATAGTGAAGGATAAAATCTGAAGCAAAACATTCTCAAAAGCCTCCATTCCAATTATAAAAATTAGAGCTTATCGGTTTGCATAGCTTCATTTTTTTTTAATGATGGCTTTTCTGCTAGATGTCAAGACCGTTACTATGGATATTAAACTGTGGATGGCGTTGGGATGTCAGCTAGAACTTATGAAAATGAGGAATGATGTTTAGAGCTTCAGTCATTATTACTCAATAAATGGTAATCACTATTGGTAACAAAAATTGACCTTAAACTATCAACAACAAAGAAATGCGAGTAAAAAGTCATGATTAGAGTCTCTATAATTACCAGAGTCATTTTAAAAAAAAAATAAATGGTCACTTTTTTTTCTAAGACATTCGCATCGTCTATTCTTTGTTCAATTTTTAATGTTCACTAAATAATTTCACAAATAAAATATTCTTACTAAAATCAAAAAATTAAATGAAATCAATTGAGTTGAAACTGGAGAAAAAAACAATAGAAATTTCATATGACAAAAATTCTTCCAACAACTGTCATTCAAAAAATTTATGGAAAAAATGAAAAAAAGAAATTGTTTTGTAAAAGAACAATTGATCAACTCTTCCAAATTTGGATTTTAAAGAAAAAAAAAAGCGAAAAATTTTGCAAATTGCTGCAAGAATTTCTCTTCACCGTTTCCAATCGTTCAATGAAAACAGATGGATATATTCAACAGAATACAATTTCCTCTCTTTCCATTTTCCTTTTTTTTCCTCTCCTATCAAAACTAATTTTACATATATACAGATTAAATTTGTAAATGCATTCATTTCAACAATAACTAAACTTCTCTTTTAAGATGAATGGAAAACTGTTGATATAATTGAACAGAGAATTGAAATTTCCCAAATCAAATTATTATTCAAAATAATGTAAACTGTATGTTTTAATGATTGAAAATGTGAAAGAAAGAGAGAGGGAGAGAGAAAGAGAGAGGAAGAGAATGAAATACTACGAAAAAGCCTATTTCTACATACTTAAAAAAGCTGAATTGAAAAAAATTATTGAGCAAAATGTTTGACAATTGTGAGTGAGATGAGAAGGGACGAGACTGTCTTTGATGTGACAATCTTCGAAAATAAAAGTTTTTTTTTTCTGAGAATCATCGTTGCCCACAGCAACATTCAATAGTTTCCATCAAATGTTTGTAATGTGCATGGAAGGATGAAAGGAAGGGAAATTAGGGGTCGGATTCTGTTAGTGTGAAAAAGATGGAAAGGGATGATATTCGATTGAAGCACTTACAACTCAGTTATTAAACTTTTGTTGTTAACTATCGGACTAGAAAACTCATTTACTAGCAGTGTCTGTCATCTGTGGAATTTATTGCTAAGTGTTAAAAGTTGACATAATCAAGGATGAAGTAGAAAATCAAAAATTGAATGGAAAACAAGTTCGATATAATTAATTCAACTTGATTCTCTTACAAGCTCAAGTTTTTCCACATAGTTTTCTTTCATCTGTGAAGTGTTTTATGCTATGATTAATACCACAGATGAAGCATCAAATAGCATTCGCTAGCACCATAGATGAAGCATCAAGTAGCAATCAAATAGCAATAGAATAAATAAAATGTGAAATTGAAATTTAATTGTTTTTAAATCTCAAACTGTTACGATAAAGCAATATTATTTCATAAATGAAAAAAAAGTGAAGAAAAGTGCATGGAGAAAAAAAAAAACTTATTTGAGTTAAATAAATTGTTACAAATTTAAGAGAAATAGGAATTCAGATATGATCATATAATTTTTAAGTCGAAAATCGAATAAATTTGGTCAACAATTTCAGCACTATGAAATTCATTCGTTTTCTGTCAGCTTATAATAAACAAAATGAGTGTAAAGTAGAATGTAAAATATGCAAAATCTCCGACACATATATGTGTGAATAAACGGGAAATTAAAAGAGGACATTTGTTCATTGAAATTCAATGAATTTTAATTAGCAGTTGAATTGGTGCAGCTAAGAAATTGGTTTCCATTTCATCTGAATGCTATTCATTATTTGCGTAGTGTCTTTTCAACAAATTAAATAAAATTAAAGAATGTGATTCACGCTAAATTTTTACATTTTCCCTAGATCATCATTACATTTTTGTTGCATTTCATTATCATTAACTTCATTAATTAATTAATATCATTTAAATGATAAAATGCTTTTTTTCATTATTGATTTCAGAGCAACCACTACTTGTATTTCATCAAAAAAAAGACCAGAAGATGAAAAATATTGCACTCACGTGTTTTCTCATTATTTCCTTGCTTGCTGTAAGTCTAATTTGAAAATTTCTTTCTCACCAACAAAAAGGAAATAATATAAATTTGCCCTCAAATAATTATCATTAGAATTATCTCGAATAATTATATTAATGTTGGCTATGTCTCATTAGAGGAAGAGTTGGTAAAATAAGTTCACCATCAAATTATCATTTCAAATAGAATTCGAAGGATTTTCTATGGAAATAGTTTTTGTCATAAATGAATACGTTTTTATTTAATCAGAAAAAAGGATTAAAAATCTGTCTTCAAGCAATTTATCGATTCCACAGCAAAGATAGAGTTTGCTGTATTAACACCATTAACTTAAATGCATGTTGTTCTTTAATTCAACTTAGTAGATATTAAATTCTCTAACAAACTTTGCCCTCTTCTCTTTCTTTCGCCCTCTCTCGTCATATATACATGCGTATACCATTATGATAAAATGAATTTTCCTATTTCCGTTAAATATATCAAAGGCCCTAAAAGTCCACGAAGTGTTCCAGAAGAGCGAGGTGAACAATGTGTTGTTGGACCCAAAGGTCCTCGGGGATTAATGGGAAAACGTGGTGGAAAAGGACCTCGAGGTCCAAAAGGCGAAGTCAGATAAAGTAATTGATTTCATTCATTCATAATTTAATTTGATCTTTATAACTCATAAAATTATTCATAATAATTTAAGAAAATCGATACGCAAAACTTTCATTTCACTACTGTAATTGTTATCTAAAAATGTTTCATTTTGTTTCAAAAAAAAGATTTTTATGTTCAAAAAAAATATTTCTATATTTTACAAGATTCCGATAAAAATTTATTTCATTTTCATTTAATCGTTACAAAATAAAACATTTAATGCTGTTTCATTAATATTATCTTTGATAGCGAACATGCACCAATACAGTTAACAATCTCACCATGCTATTGCTAATTTTTTGAATTAAAACAATTAAGCAAATTGTTTTAGGCGGAAATTTCAATGAGTTGATGATAGCCAAAGAAAATAGAAATTTTATGAGATTACCGCTAATATTGATTCCTATGTTCATTGATTATAATTTTTCCTTTTTATTACGAAATTTTATTAATACACAAATAAAAACTGAATTTATCTCTCTAGGCTTCCTTATCCTATCTTGCCTTCTGATCAGACTAAATTAGCTATTTGCTAACTTTTATTAGCTTTTACTTCATTGGAAAGATTTTGCCTTAAAATTTATCAGTTCAAATTCTATAGACGATCTTTTGCATATTATACACGTCCTCATATAGTCACTATATTTTTTATCAGAAATCCGAAATAATTTTATAATATAAAAATATTTTACATAATTAAAGTATCATTGTATTCTTAAAATCTATGCCATATTGCCATACATTCTCAATCAAATGACCTTTTCCATGCACCGTTAGTTCTCTATCAAATGACCTTTACTCTATTTACCATTAGTTTCTCCATTAAATAACTAATTGTCTATTTTACGACAAATAATACTTACTGAGCTTATAAGCGGATTGCCATCTAAACTAACTCAACAGTTCAATATTATTCTTCTTGGATTAACGTGCTTAATAATTTCTGATAATTGTATTATAACGTTGGGAAGGAATAAAACGTTCATTACAATTCGACACATCTTCAAAAAGAAATTCCATCAAAAAAAAAGAACTCACAACACTTTTTATGTCTAAAAAGATATGATTTTAAATATGTCAATTCCGCAATTTGAAAAATTTTCGGATAGCTATTAAACAACTAAGAAAAGTAATTGCTCATTAAATCATATGATATCAAAAGAAATTGTTAATTAATGAAGGAATACAAACCCAAAATGGCTTTTTACATGTAAAATAAACGGATTTTTCCTTCCCAAAGGTGCTTTTCAAAAATTATTTGCATTTTATACGTTTGAAAAAAAAAAAAAGTTTTTTAACAATTGTGTTGTTGGACAATGATTGTTGTAAAGATTTATTTTTTGCAGTTTAGTGAATATTATGATAATTACGGATTGAATCGATGAAAATCCCTTCTTTTTGTTGACGATTGAAATAATTGTTTATTCGTGTGAATGAGAAATGATAAGGGGTAGAATGAATTGGAGGATGAAAGTGATGATCGGATGGTCGAGTCAAAAATTAACTTTCAAATTTCTCTCCGTTATTTTGTTCTTTTCAACTGTTTAGGATTAAAGCAAACAATAAATCATTTAATGAAAATAGTTAATGGTAAACAAGAGAGTGTAATATTTGACAATAACTCGTTGACATCGTTGAACAAAAAAATAAAAAGATCGTATTTTATGCTTACAAGCCAAAATCATTTAATAATAATCCTATATCAAAGAAATAATTAATGCATATCGTATTTTGAGACAAAAAAATTACAGCGAACATTGACTAATAATTTTAATAAACAATTTCATTAACATTAATTCAAGGAAATCAACATTATTTCATTACGGCTCTGCATCATTTTTTCAATATTTTTATTGTATAAATTAAATTAAAAGCAATGCATACTTGCTAAAGCAGTGATATTAATGTATGAAATTCAAGTAAATGAGTTCTGCATTATGGTTGCGTACCCGTTTTCCACTAAGTAATTCTCATTAATTTAATGTTGTAAGTGAACGGTGTAGGAGGAAAAATAATAAAATAAGCCGCACGTCAAGTTTACCATACATGCGACACATGCGCCAGAAAGTTTTTTAAGAGGTTTCCAGCCTTTCTGATAATAAAACAATTCATATTCCAATAATCATTGTTTCTCTTTCTCTTTTTGTCTCGCTACTTTTATTTTTCTCTCTTTCCCTCTCCAACAATCTATTTGTATTGTCAATCTTCGATATATACTTTATTACTGATTCATATTTTATATTGAAATTATTAGAAGAATGATGAAATGCTTTTATACACAACATATTTAGCATTAAAAATTAGTAATTTTGTAGTTAATAGGTGTTCAAATTAAATGATTTAAATGAATAATCATTTCAAAGTAATCACAAGCATGAAATTCCATCGAAATAAATAACAATGAAAAATGAAATCACAAGTGTGAATATACCTAAAAATTGAAATTTTCCATAAATACTATTTTAATAAAGAATTCTTTGATAAAACCGCTACAATTTGAGATTATTCGGCGCTTTGCTCATTTGTTTTTAAATGAGATTAAATAATTCTTAGATTGATGAGGCTAAAATTGTCTTTTTTTGTCTTTTGCAAAGTATAATAACGCAAAGGATACCGTGTAATAATGATACAGACTGATCACCGGCAGGACCAGGATCTCCCATAAGTCCTTCTTGTCCAGGTGGCCCAGGATTACCTGGAGGTCCCTGAGGTCCTCGCGGACCAGGTGAACCTGGTGATCCAACGTCGCCAACATCCCCAACGAACCCCTTTGGAACAAATGTTGCTCCCTCCGTTTCATGTTCAGCTTCCATGTCATTGCCATAGATGGTGTCATTTTTCGCGTCATCATCAAGTTCAGGATTTTCAGGCTCTTCGCCCTCTTTTACGTCATTTTCTGTATCTTCAGTGCGTGAAGTTTCAGAACTTTCACTAGTGGAAACAACAGCTGTAGAAATTACATATGTACTCTTTTGTTCACTTTTGTCTTCGTCTTCAGAGACATCGTCTTTGGAAGCCTCCGACTTCGTATCTGATGAAAGCATTAGAATTTCTATCGAGAATTCAGTCTTATCAGAAAGATTAATTTGTGATAGGACGAAATTCCTATGTTTTCATGAAAGTATCAAATGAATGGACATTGTCTCAATGGGTGATAGTTATCGAAGGATTTTGTTAAATTGGTACTTATTGATTTCTTTATCGGCTAAGATTTGATTTGATTTGCTCCCAAATAATCTTTATTGGTGGGTGGGATGATTGGGAGTAACAGAATGGAAAGAAGTTTAAATTGGATGCTTTAAATTGAGAAAATTAGTTGGGAGATCTGAAATTGTCCTATTTACATTTCAATCCTAATAATACTGCTTGGAAATTTTTCCAAGGAGTTTTATTATAGAAAGTAAATTAAAGTTTGCATACCTGCTGCAATAATGTTATCAACCTGTAAAAATTTAAAGAAATTAGTTATCGCTTAATTAGTTGAAGTAAAATTATTTCGAAAATTCTTATGTTCACCATTATCGATATTAAGAGAGCGGTTATAATAAAGATGATGGTTTGTTTTGCGTTCTTTATTATCCTGCAAAATAACATACAATATCATAACATTTTACGACAAACATTTGGAACAACTTTATGACTCCTTCAGGTATTAATTTACCAAACGATCAACTAAATTTGCTTACGCAAATTGAACTTACTAGTGATTGGGTAAAATAGTTTAATCTATCTTAGCTTAATTTAATTTATCTTAACCTAAGATAAAATTATGACAATTCGAAAACAAATTTAAAAATTTTACTGACTTGTGCATTTTACAGACAAAAAGCAATTCAGAGGATATTGGTTCCAGCAATGTGCTGCAATCAAACATTTTTAATTTTAAACGTATCAGAAGATAAGTAATAATGATAAGGAGAGACAAAAGTAAGAGTAAACTGTTTGAAGACATTTCACGTCATATCACGTTTTACAAAACCTTATCACTGCCTACCAACTTCATCTGATCTACTGAACGCGATTGGGATTTTAACAAATCCTCCAAAGATCAACCTTTCGGCTGATATGAAAGTGCTGAAATGATGTGTGCCGACATTTTGTGCTAATTTTGAGCACTTTCGGCATGTTTATGCAAAATGATGAAAGAATGAATGCATGCATCGGAGTAATGAGACAATTAATAATATCATTTCTTGCATATACAATATT